GGGCCTAAGGGCTTTGGAGCCCTGCTTTAGGAGTTGCCAAGTGCAAAAGATGGGCAGTGCCAGTCCAGGTAACACCCAGAGGCTGCAGCAATTCAACCTTTTCTTGCCCTGTATCAGAGTATCATAGCAATAGGACCTTGAACATATGGAGTGGGGGTTGTTCTGACATACTGTTAGCGAAAGAGCGAATGTGCTTCCTCAATGGAAAGCCCACTTTTGAGTCAGCCCTAACAGTATTTGTGCCTTTCACAGAGGGATAGTGAGGAGAAATTAGCAAATGACAAGTGTTATAATTACTCCAAAACTTTTCTTTTCAAGAAATGTTTGAGCTGATTTGTCTCTTCTGTGATTCTTTTGCTCTGTAGTTTGGGTATATCCATTATCATTATTTCTGTCATATATTTTATTTTTCATTCTTCTAATATTGTGAACTTGCTTTGAATTCTTTGAAAAAGTGGAATAAGAATTGATCTCAGTAAGTCCTCATGCTGTCAGGAATTGTCACTGCTGGTCAAGTTGTTAATGGATCATTTTTTTCTCATAGACAATTCTTCCAGGAAGATCTCCCAAATCTACATTTTTGCTGAAAAATGCTTAGAATATGGTTTCGCCCAATACACCATTTAGTGGCATGTGTGCATAAGAAGACATTTATTTCCTCTTCTTTCTGCATAGCAAGCCGTGGCTACTAAACTAACTGCCCATTTCCATGCAAGTATACATAAAAAATAGCAGGCCTTCTTTCCATCTGATCCTGCTACTTCTGTGAAATGCTTTGTCTGCTTAGCCACCACTGTTCTTGAACAACAAAGCAAACCGTGCCTGGGAGGGAAATTGTTATTTCTATAAAACATTTTGGCTATGTTAAATATGTGATTGGCAGTCACATGCATGTATGATTGCAACCAAAGTGTCCTGGTGGTTTCCTTAGCTGTTGTTAAATAGAACTTAAAAGAAGAGCTCCTGGATCCCAGGGCCTTCCCCCAATTTTCCAGTCTTCAAGATGAGGAATCTCAGGGTGAGAGCATCACCTTGAATGCATTCTACCACCACTAAAGCTATTGTTGACTGCCTTTTTTCCAGTCAGAGTCTGGAAAACATTTGATGATTGGACTAAACCCCTATGTGTTCTTAAGGCAATGTTTGTAAACATGTTAAAATATTGCTTGAAAAAAATATTTAAAGCAGACCTTGGAAAACTTAAATTTTTAGCCAGATAAACATTTGTAAAAATTGTTACTGTTTGTTATTTGAATCACATGCTCCAAGCAACAGGGGCTGATGTTTACTGCCTCGCAGTTAATGGCACTACCATTATGTGTCATAAGATCTGTCCCTTATTTCACTGGGCAACCCTACTCGCTCCAAAGCTTACGTTCACACTTGGCTACAATCAGGCCATAAAACAGAAATTTCCTTTAGTGGGCTGCCCCTTTCCTTTCTGTCTGGTTGTATTTCAAGACACACCACACTCTGGATTAGGAGGGCATGAAATATGGATTAGACCTGTTGTTGTTTTTGTTTAAAGGCTCTCTTCCAGGAAATCCTGGATCCAGGAGTTGCAACCTAAACTGCATATTAAATTTTATTTTTTCGAAGAGAACGAGAAGACATTTCTTGTACAGTATTTCCATTTCATCTTGTGGACTTTCTTTCAGAATGGCCCAGTTGAATTTGGTTTTCTCCCCCGTTATTTTGTTTGCATTCCTGACAAGGAAGAACAGCTTTAGACATTTAGGACTCAATTGAGCTCAATAATCTCTTAACTAAATACAGAGATCTTTGCTTTCCTCAAATGGAGTCTGTTTATTTCAATATGTAAACAGTATCTTAAGGCAAGGACATTTAATCTCATGCTAGATCACCACCAACACACACTCTTAAAGACCTGAAAGAAACATTCAATGTGGAAGAACTCATTTTTGTCAGAAGAGCACAGTGAAGCAGGCTAGGAGAGCTTAGTAGTCCCAAAAAAAGCCACATTTCTAACTCTATCCAAGACCAAAGTAACTGGCTTTGCATTAACGTACATGGACTTTGTAGCAACTATGTGGATGGAAGAGGACTAATAACAGAGCAGACATGGAGAGGGAATTGAAGTGAAAGAAGGTTTGGGAGTTCCTGCAGATAGACCAATAATGCCAGTAAAGGTCAGCCTACTCTACTTCTAGATTTCACATCTTATAACAGACGTATCCCTTCCTGCATCCAATAAAGCCCTAAATGAACCAGGATTTCAGCCACTCCTTTTCTCACGTTTGAGAAATCATTTGCTGTGACATAAGAGTGGTTTCCCTCCATCCCCTGCATAAGATCAACATTTCCCCCAATATTCTCCTCCTCTACGATCCAGGTTTACTGTCTCACACATCTAATTCTTCAAAATGTTTATAATAGTCAAAGAAAGGAAAAAGCAATGATCATTCTGGTACCTAAAAGTACAATGAGGGAAGGGAGATCAAAGGAAAATTTCCATGGTAATGAGCACATTCCATTTCCAAACATAATATTGGGACTGCCTAAAACAATGAATATAACCATAGGAAGCTACCTTTGTCTTTACTGAAATATCCCAGGACAGATAAATACATATCACTCTTCAATTGAAAAATTATGGCCAGAAATTCATGAGGGAGATTACTGGACAGATGGTACACTATATGGAGATATTAAAATATTTTGATAAATACCAGTACAACTCTCAATAAATCCTAGAATGTCTGGAGGGAGAAGAAGCATAAATGTTGGCCTCCTCGCCCCAAGACTTCTTATTGCATGGGTAAAAGGCAAGCAGTAGAGGACTGTACAAATGGGCCTTTGATATCTGCTGGGGTTTGTGTCCAGGATCCCCAACCCCAAATACCAAAATCCATGGATGCTCAGGTCCCACAATATAAAATGGTGTCCCTCATACAAAGGGGCAAATAACTCAAGTACCAAAGAGAGCCTGAAGACCTGTAAATGGCAGGGGACTATAGCTGGGTGTGCCTATATACATCAGTGACAGCATGGCAAAATCAAAGTTTGCTTTTGGGAATTTCCATTTTGAATCCTTGGTTAGTTGAATGTGAATGCAGAACCCATGAGTACAGAGGGCAGACTGTCGTGTACAAGCATACCTCAGTTAACAAAGTCTCTGACAAAGAAGCTTCTTTGTAATAAAGACTTTTTATGTCACCTAGTCCTCTTTTCATCCTTAGAGCGTCAGCATACTTGAAATAAAAAGTCATATCTGGATATATTTTGGCAAAAGCTTCAAATAGTTTCTAAACATTCAAAATGTTGTTTATTTATGCAAGGCATTGCAGACTTGGTTGTTTAATTTCACATGTCTTGAATAAAAAGTTTACTGGAATGCATTCAACTGCTCTTCTTTTCTTTTGTGGTGTAGGAACCTATCCCTGTTCTTTCCAAGCAATTTCTGCTTCTGGCACTTGCTTTCAAAACCAGGGCTGCACTGAGCTTAAACAAAAACCACTTTCTGGTTCCCCCAAGTTATCTTGATTTCATTAGCTTAATGGTGCCTTCAAACGCATTACCTTGGTCTTAGAACTTTTATGGAAAAAGTCATTTCACTTTTGCTGTCCTTAAACCAATATGAGGATGAAGGCCTTTCCAGTCTATTACAGTTCTCCTACCAGTAAAGCCAAAGTTACCTTCTGCTTATCCTTTCACTGGGGACATAGACATGCAGAGAAGTGTAAAATTCCCAGAAATTTTGAAATCAAGGAGCTATCCTAACTTTCCCCCTTCCGGTTTTTACAGAAAATAATAGGAATCCTCAGAGGAAATTGTAAAGCAATGTTTTTGCATCCTAGTCACTATTATTATAAGATCAGAAAATGTAACTTAACTTGTCGTAAAATTACCAAATGGATATGTTAAAAATAGAATTTATTCAGAATATTACAAATGGAAGTTACTTTTTCACTTGTTATTTTTTGTTACATATAGAGCTATGGGGTAATGAACTGTAAGGAATACATAAATTATAAGGAATCCATTTGCTTTTTCAAATTTGAGGAGCAAGCAAAAAACAAAGAAATGGCAAAAATGAACCATAGAAACCATCAATATTACTAAAACAGGATTTTTTTTTGGTCTCTGCTGGTCCTCCATAGTATCAAGCAGACTTAACATATGCATATCCTTTCCACAATAAGGACAGAAAAAATAAAACAAAATCAGGAATTGTAATTTTCTGAAAGAGGATGGGAAATTTCACCCCAAAATGTCTGTTCCTCCCTCCCTCAGACTTTTACATCATTAGGAAGACCGTCTTTATTTTCAGTTATTTGTCTGGGCCTGAATGGGATCCAGAAATGTTCTGGGAAAATTGTGATGAACATCGGTGTAGCTTTGTTATACAGTTCTGTATAGTAAAGGTAAAGGTTTCCCCTGACATTATGTCCAGTCGTGTCTGACTCTGGGGCTTGGTGCTCATCTCCACTTCTAAGCCGAAGAGCCGGTGTTGTCCATAGACGCCTCCAAGGTCATGTAGCCAGCATGACTGCATGGAGCACCGGTACCTTCCAGCCAGAGCGATACTTATTGATCTACTCACATTTGCATGTTTTCGAACTGCTAGGTTGACAGAAGCTGGGCCTAACAGGGGAAGGTCATCCCACTCCCCGTATTTGAACTGGTGACCTTTTGGTCAGCAAGTTTAGCAGCTCAGCGGTTTAATGTTTTAAAACAGAAGGAAAGACTTTACAGTGATTGACACTTTTTAGCTATTTCCCTTTGGAAATCGGAGGGGCCCAGGTTTCTGTCTCAAAGTGCAGACTTACAATGTTGCTGCAATGTCCATTTTACATTTGTTTTGGACATGATTATAAGTTGAAGACTATAACAACCTTACCATTGGTTTTCATTAAATAGTGTCATTCTGCTCTGGTGAATGTGACAAATGTAAGACTACCCAATAATATATTGAATTTGTTTCCTTGTCACTGAGCTATATCCATAATAATCCCCCATTCCAATATGTTTCTTTATAGGAAGAGAAGGCAATAGAGAAGAAAAAAGAGACAAAATCTCTTGAAGAGAAGCAGAAGGAAACTCAAAGTAGAGATCTGAAAAAACCCAGAGGTTCTGATTTAGGGAAAGAAGGTAAAAAGGAAGAAACGGTCCAAAAAGTAACTCAAAAAGGGAAGGATGAACCAGACAGTGTTAAGAAAACTGTGCAAATCAAAGAGGACAAGACTTCCAAGAATGAAAAGACACTCTCCAGGGAGAAAGACAGAGCTCCAACAACAGACAAAAAAGCAACAGGTAAAGTGAGGGGAGAAGAGAAGAACCAAGCAAAAGAGGACAAAGGAAAAGAAAAGGAAGCTGAATTGAAGGGTAGGTTTGAGAAGGACAGAAAGATTGGAAATAAAAAAGAATCTGAAAAAATAGAGGAAAAAAGTACAACATTAAAGCAGAACTCAGTTAAAAAGAGAGAAGATAAAAAAGAACTGGAAAAGAAAGAAGAAAAAAGTTCAGCTTTGAAGCAAGACTCCAAAATTGTCAACGAGGAGAAATCCTCAAGGGACAACAAAGGGGCTTCTGAGGGGAAAGCCTCTGTTTCAGGCGCAGAGAAGACAATGAAGGACACCCCAGACAGTAGCCCTTCAAAACCTGTAGACAATTCTTCCAACCAGAGCAAGGAAGATGAAGCCACCAGCATTTTTGATGAACCATTAGAAAAAGTAAAGAACAATGACCCAGAGATGGTAGAGGTTAATGTCAATAACTCTGACTGCATCACCACTGAGATCCTGGCGCGCTTTGCAGAGGCCTTAGAGTTCAATACTGTGGTCAAAGTCTTTGCATTGGCCAATACGCGTGCAGACGACCATGTTGCTTTTGCCATTGCCATCATGCTGAAGTCAAACAAGACACTGACCAGTATAAATCTCGATTCCAATCACATCACAGGCAAAGGAATTCTGGCCCTCTTCCGTGCGCTCCTCCAGAACAACACTTTGACAGAGCTGCGCTTTCACAATCAGAGACATATTTGTGGAGGGAAGACTGAGATGGAGATAGCCAAGCTGCTGAAGGAGAACACCACCCTGCTGAAACTGGGTTACCACTTTGAGCTAGCTGGGCCCCGCATGACTGTCACCAACCTGCTGAGCAGGAACATGGACAAACAGAGACAGAAACGCCTGCAGGAGCAGAAGCAGGCTCAAGAAAAGGGGGAGAAGAAAGACTTCCTTGATGTGCCCAAGCCAGGAGGCTTACCAGCTAGCTCACCTAAAGTGTCTCCGAAACCATCCCCCAAAACGTCCCCTTGGGCTTCACCTAAAGCTTCCCCTAAAGCTCCCCCTAAGAACACCCTAAATGTGCCTCCTCCACCCCCGCCTCCACTGGCCCCTCCTCTGATCAATGAAAACTTACGTCTGTCCCTTTCCCCAGCTACTCAGAGGAAGATGGTAGAGAAAGCTCTTCCTTCACAAGAAAAGAACTCCAGAGATCAGCTTCTGGCTGCTATTCGCTCCACTAACTTGAAACAACTGAAGAAGGCAAGTAAAGGGTGAATGTAAAGACCACACAGGGGTAAAGCATGCTACTTCCTTAAAATTAGTTTCTCCTTTGGTAATTCCAGTTTAGCATTCATGCCTATACATATGTTGAAAGGAACATCTCACCATCACTTATATAGTGGTGGGATGACTTTGAGGTGTGGCAAAGGGTTGCCTGCCAACAGTGTTCCAAGACCAGAATGGCTCCTTTTGATATCTAAATGCATTCTAAATTCATCTAAGGTTTAAAATGGAATTTGCATAGTGTCACATAAAAAGAATGAAACTATCTTAAGTCCAATAATGCTCAAGCAAATAACAACGAAGGTATAGTTCTGCATCTAAACATAGGTTCCAGAGAGTTGAAGACTTCCCAAAGCTAGGACAGAATAAAAGGCTTAAGAAAATAAGATCTTTGGTGCTGAAATCACAGATCAAAGCAGAAGCTGGGGAAATATCTTTGATAATCAATGCAAATAACTTTCATAATGAGAATTTAAAAGACATGGGAAGAAAGGGAAGAACTAGAATGAGTCATGAAGCATATCCCAGGCATGGTAACAGATTCTTTCCTTACAGACATCTGAATGCTGAATTTAATGCACAACATTTTTTTACACCAAGGAACTCTCTACAAAATAAGTACACAGCAATCATATGTGAAGAACACATGTTTTTCACGTGTTACGTATATTGGAAAACCAATAGCTTGTGTTCATAGCAAAGTAGACAGTTGCACATCTTTCTACTCCAATAAATAGACTGCATGCATCATACACTGTTTCTGATGTGGAGAATTGTAAAGGTATAATTGGCTTAATTCAGGTATCACAACAAACTCTGGCAAAGGAAGTTTAACTATGGCTTCATAGGTGTCTGAATTGGCATGTGTCCAAGGAATCTAGTATTAACAACTATGGTTTGTTTTGAGTTTGAAAACTATGATTTGTATTGTTTTGAAGGAGATCTAGGCTGGGAAATGATAGTTATTTGCTTCCATGGAATTCTTTCACCTTCAAACTTCAAACTACAAGAAAGGAGATTCCTCTTAACACGAGGAAGAACTTCCTTACTGTGAGAGCCGTTCAGCAGTGGAACTCTCTGCCCTGGAGTGTGGTGGAGGCTCCTTCTTTGGAAGCTTTTAAATAGAGGCTGGATGGCCATCTGTCAGGGTTGATTTGAATGCAATATTCCTGCTTCTTGGCAGGGGGTTGGACTGGATGGCCCATGAGGTCTCTTCCAACTCTTTGATTCTATGATTCTATGATTCCTCTGAGGCTGAGAAACTATGTTCACCCAGTACGTTTCCATGGCTATGCAAAGAGTCAAACCTTGATCTTCTAGTGCATCACTAAAAGTTGCCTTTGGTTTTAGATTTGTACTAACTACTACATCATTTTTGGCAGGTGGACGTTCCCAAATTACTCCAATAAGCAATGGAACCTAGATTCCGGGAAGGACGAGACTACCAAGGCTAAATCACCGTGTTTGTCTCTTGGGTGACTGTTTACATGAGGAAGACTTGGTGGGAGCCACAGACTACACTGCACTAGCCCCAGATGAGTTATGGGATTGGATGGATTGCCAAGGAGGTGGTGGATCAAGAAGAAGCAATATTTAATTTAGTGAGGATTTTTTACATCACGAAACATTTGGTTCATGGAGAAAGGGAACTGCAAAAGCTCTGTGTTGTGTACTTGGACTTTTTGTCCCATTTTCCTTGTGGAAGTCAAGAAAGCAAAACGACAGATAATGGTTTAGTCTTTAAGAAGTCTATATTTGGGGCATCCCTGCTTATCTTGCCAGGCACCAGGTAGCACAATTGCAATTACAATATATATACAAGAGCAAATGCACACTAGAGCAACAACACCACTGGAAATTGTTCTGTCCCATCTTCATCCCAAGACGACTCCAAAAGAAGCACCACCATGTTCTTGCCACTTGCTGTGCCTGGGATAGGATGAATTTGGAGGATGGGGGAGAATTCACTAAGCCAAAGCCAGTTTTCCAATGTGTCTGTGATCTCAAGAATCCCATTCTTCTGTTAATGCAAACACAAGCACTATACAGTTTTCTTTGCTCCCAGAAGAAGCACGGAAAACATTGTGCAAATCTGTATTTTGTGAGTAAAGGACTTTATGTGACCCCATGAACCTAGCAGTTAGGAAGTTTATGGATGGAAAATTGAACTGAATGGAACATACCGTATATTCCGGCATATAAGACGACTGGGCGTATAAGACGACCCCAACTTTTCCAGTTAAAATATAGAGTTAAGACAACGCCCATGCATAAGACTACACCCGCGTATAAGACGACCCCTGACTTTTGAGAAGATTTTCTTGGGTTAAAAAGTAGTCTTATAGGCCAGAATATACTGTAGGTCATATTGCTGAGGATAGAAACTTCATAGTACTTGCACCTCTGAACAAATGAGCAGCATCTTCAAGATTAATTTTGGAGTGCTTAATCTTAGAGGCCCAATGGAAGGGAAAGAAGAAGTTAAGTTGGCCATTGGTAGGAGGGGAAGGAAAAAAGCAAGCAGTGACAGTTATATGTTCAATGGAATATTAAACCATGGAAAGCTCAGATTTGAAAGGTGTCTTACAGAATGCAGAGCAAACATTCTCAGAGGCTTAATATTTATCAGAATCCTGTATACTCTTTACATATGCTAAGCATAACAGTTACATGACTACACACTGAATTCCAACATCCCCAATCACCACTTACTGGACAGCAGCTGTCTAGGAAGTAGTTGGCTTCCACTTCTATCCTATCCTTGTGGAATTTCCACTGCGGACCTGCAGGAACAAGGTCCCTGTCTTAATTTTTTCCCTTTTGCCAGTGTTTGATCACAGTGACTGCTGCCCAGTAAGTTGAGACTGAAGGACTTTTATGGTCCTTATATGGCCCTCTCTTTTAGAAATATGTAACAGTCACTAGTGCTTAACTCCAACTTAGATATTCTATATTGTAATACAGGATTCTGGCCACAGTTGCTCATACAGGTAAGGCAAGCATATCCTAATAGACAATAAACTTACATAGCATAGCAATAGCTTGTTTATAAGCCCAGCATAAGACTTGGGACCAGAAGGTTTATGTGCTAACTTCAAAAAAGTAAGTTGATTTAATGGCCCAGGACCTTTGCGACCTATATATAAATCAGTATCTTCTAAACTATGGTCAAAATTTGAAATATTTACCTTGATGACTTTTTCAGAATTCTAGAATTTTGAGAGTTACACCACAAAATAATCATTTTTCCAAGCTCTGATGGGTACAGGCTATGGAATGTGAGCAATGAACATCATATATCTGTCAACCAACCTATGTGTCAACTTCACCTCTCAATCATTCCTCCTTCAGATTCATACTTTTTAGAACTGTGACTGCCAAACATGACCCTCTGTATGGCTCCCATACTGTATCTAGTTAAACATGAGTGTGATGCAGCATTGGGTAAGCAAGATTGCAAGGGCGTTTTCTCAAACTAGGAAATCTGAAGTTGGACCTCTGCTAAGGGGAGTGCCCATGTGTTGCAGAATGCCAACATGTTACTGCCTGGACTTTTTAGTCAACTGCAGAACAGCAGTTTTAAAACCACAAGGAGTCTTCAAGGGAAATTGTATGAAGATGGGTTAAAAGTGCCTATTTGGAGTCTCAATGCAAGGAAAAAGAGGCACTTTGTCTCAAGTTCAGTTCCATCTGAAAATCAGTTCATCTGCCTGGATATGACTCCCCAGCGTGAAAATGAACATATTGTGCTTAATAAGTTGGTGACTCAGGCTATAAATGTATATATAAAATCAATATATTTCTGTGCCTATAAGAGTTTAATATATAGATGGATAGAAATATCTAATATAACTCTCAGTGGAGGAGGGCTTAATTTCTTATTCAAGTGACCCAAGCATGCTTGCATTGAGTTAATGCCAAGTGGTGCAGCTACAAGAGGCTGGAAAGATAGTCCATCTCAACTATCAAACCAAGAGATGGACTCAAGAGATTACCTGCAACATAATAGAAAAAAAATCGCATCTCATGGACAGGTGCTACCTTGTCCCAGGCCAGCCAGAACAAGTAGGACTATGAAGCATTATAGAAGATCCTTGTCACTTACAAGCTTTTTATGTTCTCTCTACCAGCCAAGAAGGCAAAGTGCAGGTAAATGGGCCATTGTTAGTCTCCACCAAGTGCTGCAATGAAATGAGGTTTAATCTCTTCGTGGAGAATCCACTTAAGAAAATATTGGGGGCTGTGGGATGGGAAGGAATCATGCAAGAGACAAATCACTTGAGCAAGAGATCTCAGATGCAAATGTTGCTGCAGTTTTCTCTCTGCGATTCATGAATGTAATTCCTCTTTGCAAAATGTACAGAATCACCCACACTTTTATTAATAAAGCTCACAATATGATGTTGATTGTGCGTAGAGGAACATGGCGAGGCTGGGGATAGGAAGGGGAAATTAATACTTCTACATCTGCTGCTACAAGACTAGGCAGAAATGTGTCAGCCCAGGCCATCTTATGCACCTGGTATTCCTCTTCAAAAACGTGTTTCAAATGTCCCACAACAAAACCCTGATTCTGACACTTTGCAGGTGGGCAAGTGAGGCCAAAGCCCAAGGAGCCACTGTGCTTAGGGTTGCCTTAGGCATCGAAACCAGGGTTCTTAGTTTGAGGCATCTCCTCTACTGAGTCATATTGCAGTTTATAGAAGCTGAAAAAAATCAATAGAGATTTAATTCCTATAAGCACCACCCAGAGTATATCAGATACTTAAGACATGCAACTTGGGTGAAACATTTCTGTTTGTGTACAAACATAAGCCCACTTTGCAGCCTGAGTATGCTGGGCAGTCTGCCAGGGAAGAGTATCTTCATTCTCCCTCATGCCGCTGCCAATTCAATGGGTTGCATGCCAGCTTGGTGCAGAAGTCAGTCATTGCTGTGGGTCTGGCTGATTCCAAAGGCAGCTGAACTGCTTGTCAGAGGAGTCCGGAGAAATGCCTATATTTGGGCATTTTGCATAGACTGCCCAAGCAAAACTTCATTCCTTTGCTCTTCCTAATAGCAGGAAGCCTTCCAGCTGCTCAGAACAGCCAAGGAGAGGTGAAAGCAGGGCCTAGTTCCCTTGTACCTCTTTCCCTTCCATTGTTGGAAAAGTTACATTCTTGGGTTTGAACCCAAGAATGCATTGGTTGGTCTCAACTAGAGTAGTTAGGAGCCCCCAGTGGTACAGTGGGTTAAACCCTTGTGCCGGCAGGACTGAAGACCGACAGGTCAGAGGTTTGAATCCGGAGAGAATGTGGATGAGCTCCCTTTGTCAGCTCAAGCTCCCCATGCGGTGACATGAGAGAAGCCTCCCACAAGAATGGTAAAGCATCAAAACATCCAGGTGTCCCCTGGGCAACGTCCTTGCAGACAGGAAATTCTCTCACACCAGAAGCGACTTGCAGTTTCTCAAGTCGCTCCTGACATGACAAAAAAAGAAACCTAGAGTAGTTGAGTCCACGGAATCAATTGATGAATGACGGTAATGTGTAGGCATGTCCCACTGATACATGGGTCTACTCTCAATACGACTAACAATAGGATTCAGTCTTTAGCATACAACCCTAGAATCTCACAACCAACACAGCCAGTAGGATTCTGACAGTTGTAGTCCAAAACGAAGTTTTCCAGGCTCTGCACTCTACTACATGTACAAGCAAACAGGCTGGCCTTGCCTTCGCTGGCACTCCTTCCACCTGTGGTTCTCTTGTCAGTGCCACACTGTTATTTGCCACCTTCTAGCACACAGGCAGCTGTCCTCTGTTGCGAGAACACCCACTGAATCGTCTTCTATCACAGATGCCCCTCCGGTCTTGAAAGGCAGTGCCACATTGCAAACTGTCCCACAGGTGGCAGATGAAAATAGAAAAGCTAGCCGTATTACTTTCAAGATATCTGATTGCGTGATCCAGTTATAACTATAGTGTGATTATCTTAAAGTGCTTCACTTTTTCATGACCCAAAAATCATTTTTTTAAAGTTAATGCTGTTGATGTACTATGCTAGGCACTGCACTTTTTCCAGGATTGTGAAGTGGTGGAGAGAGAAGGCAAGCAAACTCCCTCCACTACATGCAGCGTACATCCTCAGTACCATGCTTTCTTCACAGTCCTTGTGCCAGCAATCATTTTCCTCCTATGGCTGAGAACTCCAGTGGTGTAGCATGTATAGCTTTAAATGTGTTAAATCGCAAAACGAAATTCCTCTGTTCTTAAAATAGTTAATTGATACAAAATCTCCTGTGAACATACCCCTCTACACAAGGAGAAAGGTTCTTTGCCCTGCTCTCTAACCCACTATGCAAAGAAGATATGATCTCAGATGGTAATAATACCATGCAGCATTCCCCCGACATGGCTTCCCAGCTTTCCATCCCACAACATGTGGCATCTCAGCTTTCTGTCTCACAGAAGGATTCTCAGTATCCTGGTTTGCATCTTCAGCACTCTTTGGTATGTATTTAGGAAAACCAACAAATATTCCAGGGGCACCTAAAAATATAAGCTCTTGTGGACTATGGGTCATCTCATTAGACAGATTGATGAATGGTGTTAGAGTGCATCTAAGAAAGCAAATTCTGGTTCTTAAATATGCCTCAATAAAACATTTACAGTGCCATAAGATTCTGGAAACATCCATCTGTAACCATCCCATGTTTTTCCACTGCTGCTGCTTTATTCTTGTCAAACATGAAAACCCAGCAAGGATGAAAAGGTGAAATAGCTGTACAATGAATGCACCAGGAGTCCTGGTCTGGCATCGCTCTTCGCTTTAGGCTTGCCTGATGCAGTTATGCCCTCATGTGGTGAGATTCATGCCTCTCATGCTCAAGCTCATCCAGACTGGTCAAATGTGGGAGGACTTAGCAGTTTCCATTGCTGTGCTCACTGCTTTCATGTTATCTGCAATTTCATATTATTTGCAATTTAGTTTCAAGAGGTACAAAAATTGATTTACACCACACATATCATGGAAAGAAGGGAAGGACATAGAAAGGCTGTTCTGGAAAAATAAAAACTCGGTGAACAAAAGGGAATGACAGAACTTTCCCTAACAAGAGTACTTTTGGCTCCTCCCACAATTTCCCCT